TTTCCAGGCCTCATTTTCTTCATCTTCAAAATGAGGTCTTAGTAATGGCTACTCGTTTCTCCAGACCCAAGTCTGGTGCTCTTTCTCCTTCTTGGTTGGGAGGAAGGGTGCATTGTGGAAAAGTAGATGGGAACACGAGAAGGGACAGGGAAGATGGAGGGGCTAGGGTTTGTGGCTGGAGAAGAGCCTGGGCAGGAATTGGATGTCAGAGGATGAAAGACAATGGGGAGGAAGAGAGGGAACGGGGAGCCAGGCAGGAGAATGTGGTGATAGATGGGAATGGGGAGAAGACAGCGGTGGGCACACTGCAGAAGAAGAGGCGTGGAGACCGGGGGAGCTGGGGGCAGACGGGGCGGGCAGGAGGGCTGGGTACCAGAGTGGCCCTTGCAGAGCCCCTGCCTCCTGGCCGCAGGATGACACAGATGTGGAGGTCCGATCGCTCCACGCTCACCTGTCCTACTTCCGGGAGCGCCTGACGCTGCCTGTGCCCTTCAACATCCTGCCCTCCCCCTGCTACCTGCTCAGGTGATACCCTCAGAGCTCTCACTCCCTGCCTCCCAAGCACCCAGCTGCCCCTGCCCAGCTCCCTAGACCCCTCCCCTGCCTAACCGCTTTCCAGCCCCTCCGAATCCCTCAGGAGAATTTTCCGCTTCATCTGCTGTTGCTGTTCCTGCTGCCAAACCAAGAAGCCAGACTATCGGCCAGTCCCTACCTACGTGAGTATGTCCTCTGCTTGTCGTTGGGCTTTGTCACGCCGGGCCTCCAACTGTATTGTCTACACCGCCTGTTTGTCTGCACACCCTTTGTCTTTCTGGTACGTTCCCCACAAAGCTATTTCCCACATCCTCCTCTCGCACCTGGCTGCCCTTCCCTGTTCCTGGCTCTGGATGTTTCCTAGATTTCCAACCGTGGGTCACCCGGCTTAAACAGAAATCCATACCGCCCTGCTCCCAAGCCACGGGCACCCTATTTGGCTCAGACCTGTCCTGCAGCCTTACGTAGCCGCTCCAGCCCCCGCTGAGCCATAGAAGCATCAGGAAACCCCTACTCCCCCAAGCAATCCTTTTCAGTATTATTTTTTAAAGCTTTTTTTAAGATTTTTATTTATTTATTTGAGAGAAAGACAGAGAGAGCACAGTGGGGAGGAGAGGGAGAAGCTGGTTTCCCGCTGAGCAGGGAGCCCAATGTGGGCTCGATCCCAGGACCCCAGGATCATGACCTGAGCCGAAGGCAGACGCTTAACTGACTGAGCCACCCAGGTGCCCCTCAGTATTATATTTTTATCACTATTATTACACAAATTTTTTATACAATAAAAAAGAAAAATAAAATAAATTTTATAAATTTTTTTATAAAAAAAAAAAAAGCTCCAGACTTCAGACAAACTTCTTTGCCCTAAACTGAGCCAAGAAAGAGTTGAACATTAAAAAAAAAAAAAAAAATTAAGAAACCAAGGGAAAATGCCCCACAAACTGGGAAATTAAACAGCTGATAGAGGCCTAAGAGAGGAGGCCGAGCCTCTAAAGGGCTGGCTCCCTTATCTCTCGCTATCTGTTCCCTGACCCAGGCTTGGAGTGGGAGCCCCAGCCTATTTCAGACCAGCGTTAAGGCCAGGTCCATAGGGGGTCCTATCTGTTCCCTTTAAAATATGTTACCTGAGGATCTCTCTAAGCCAGGGACTCCGGGCCTGCTCTTTGGGGGCCATAGGCCAACTCTGGAGCTCTGAGGTCCCTGGATCCCCTGATTGGTCCATAGTTTGTTCAACAAACACTTACCAACACCTCTACTGGAAATAAAGATCTGCAGAACGGTGGTCCCTCTGGGTGCTGCCAGTCTAGCGTAGCAGAAGGAAACGGACGGTAATTGCCCGGGACAAGCCCACAGTAGAGAGAAGCACAGCGCGCTCCTGGAGCACAGAGGACAGGCCCCGGATCCAGACTCAGGAACCAGGGAGCTTCCCAGAGCCCTTGAGAGCAGAACAGAACCCTGAAGGGTAAACAGGAGGTTGGTGGGCAGATAGTGGAGAGGGGAGTTCTCGGCACAGGAAACTGCATGTGCTCAGCATGGGGAAAACAGAACGCTTACCAGACACTAAAACGCCCGGGATTCCCCCCACTCCCTGGCTCTGGGCGATCCCACGTGGACACCTCCTTCACCCTAATGGACCTCTGCCTCCAAATTCTGGAATTACCACCCTTTTCCCCCAGTCACTTCCTGTTCCTGTCCAGGCTGCCGGATGCCTATGTGCAGACCGTCTGTCAGGGCTGCTCTACCCTAGGATGAGACTCCGCTTCTTCAACTGAGGTTGTGCCCAATTCTCGGGGCCTGTGCCCAGTCCTGGATGGGCAGAGCCACTGTGTCCAGCCAGATCCCCCCACACTAGCTGGCTGGGATCTTGCCCACTGGAGTCCCACCCTTCTCCCAGCTGCCCCCACCTCGCTAGTGTCTTCTGATCCAATTAGATGTCCCTTCCCCCCTGTCCTGCATCCTCAGGAAACGGCCTCCCTAAGTTCTTATTCCTTATTTTATACAAGGAAAATGCTTTATATACTCTGTAGCTGTAAAAGGCCTATCATTCTCTCTCATACTTCTGCCTGCCCCAGCTTGGTCAATCCCATCTTTCCCCTGAGAATATTTAATAAAATGCTTTGCTTTTTTTTTTATGAGTAAATATGCTAACTATAAAATATTTAGAGAGAAGATAAAACTAGATAAAAATAATTCTTTCCTAAGCATTTAGAGAGCCCCTACTCTCTGCCAGGGAAGTATTGACCTGAGACGTAGGCATTACTACCACTTCTGTCTTCAATTTGGAGACCCTCAGGCCTGAAGAAATTGAATAACTTGCCTGAGGCGCAGAGCTGCTAAGTGACTGAGCTGGGATTTGGGCCAAAGCTTCTCAGTCTAGCCCTTTGCCTGCTACACCTCTGTACTCTCTCCACTGTCTGCCCCATCCGTATGTCCTGCTTGCCCTCTTGGTACTGTTGCGGGGCCTATACCTGGACCCCAAACCAATCATTCCAATTCACATGATGATTTCCATGCAGATGCCTCCCCACATCCCCTACTTTCCCCCTCTGCAGCGTTTGAAGGTCAGGCTTAACCTGGACTAACTCAAGAAAACCAAGGTAGGGTTGGTGGCAGGAGAGAGAACTCAACTGTGCCTGACTCAACATTTTTGTCTCTGCCCCCCACCCCCCTCTGCACCACCCTCCACCCCTCACCTGCCCACCCCAGCTCTCTTCCACTCAGCCTTTGCTCAGCTCCGGCCTCCTTCTGCCTTCCAGGACTGCACCAGGGTCTAGCTATGTGGCCTCCAGGACAGAAACGTCTGCAGACTTGGCCTCCATCCTTTATCATCTGGGAGAGGACACAATGATTACAGAATGGCCGGGGTGGGTAGAGTCTCTCTCACCCTCTGGTCTTCCCATCCCAGGCCAATCCCGGGACAGGGGCAGGGCCTGGGGAAGGAGAGAACGGATCCTACCGCCTCCGAGTCATCAAGGCCCTGGTACAGCGCTACATAGAGACAGCCCAGCGGGAGTTTGAGGAGACCAGGCAGAAAGGTTAGTGGCTCACCCCCAAGCCTTCCCCGTTGCATTGTGGGAATAAATACCAAACACCAGGCTTGCACCCTGCAGTGTGGCCTTCCTCCTCAATGACTCTGAGCCATTCAGATATTTATTCCACTCATTTCATTCAATCCTTCATCCCTGTGTTCGTTGACTCATTCACTCTCTTACCCATTGGCTCACTCACTTAACTCATTTTTCGTTCATTCACTCAGTCTCTAATTCACTCATTCAATCAACATTCATCACCACGTCCCCTTTGTTCCAGCCTTATCTTTGAGAGAGGGGGAATGTGTAGAGCAGAGACACGGGGCGGGGAGGGGGAAGCTTTCTGTCTGGTGAGACAGAGAAACCATCTTTGTAGGCAGATAGGGCTTAGTTAGGAGAGAACCAAATTGCAATGGGAGCCCAAGGGAGATAGAGAACCTATTATTTTGAGACGCTGGTGGAAAGGTAGAAGGATAGAGGACCAGAAATTGGAGAAAGCAGAGGTGTAATTCAAACTGGGCCCTGAGGATGGGTAGACGGGAACAGGGCTGACAAGGGCAGAGACCAAATCTCTACCCACTAAAAACTTGCCCATCCCTGTGACTCCTGATCCCTTCTCTGGACCACAAAACTTTCCTTCTTTCTATCTTTTAAACCCATGACCATCTGAGTCCCATTCAGATTCATCTGCCCCAGACTCTGCCTGCTCCTGACCCCCAGCCTGTGAACCAGTCTCTCACTGTCTCCAGTTCTACTCCCTCAGGACCCATAGGCATGATGTCCCCTGGGGTTCTGTTGTGAGGGGAGAAGTGGTTCAGGGCAGGCTCATCTTCTGAGAGACCTCCCCATCAACAACTTCCCCCAAACCCCAGACCTGGGCAACAGACTGACGGAGCTGACCAAGACTGTGTCTCGCCTACAACGCGAGGTGGCTGGTGTGCGGAGGACTCTGGCAGAGGGAGGGACACCCCGAACACCCGAAGGTGCCCGCATCCTCAGTCGCTATATCACCCGAGTGCATAACAGCTTCCAGAATCTGGGCCCCCCATCCCTGAAACCCCAGAGCTGACAGTGCCAGGGATTGTGGGGACCCAGATACCTTCAGAAACTGGGCTTAAGGATGCTGGAGGGTCTAGGACTCCAGCTTCTGGAGAGTCTGGCCCTTCCTCCCTAGCTCACGTGTTAGTGCACAGGGAGCAAGAATCAGAGACAGCAGGGGACTTGCCCCAGGAGAAAGATTTGGGGATCAAGGGGGGGTCCTGATGCAGTGGGAGGGTCCCTTCTTCTGTTGCTAGGTAGAGCCACCTAGATGGGTGAGGGTAAGTGTCATTTAGAAGACTCTGCTGCTTTACTTGCCTCAATAAAGTTTCTGTTCTGGATGTCAGATGCCTCCAGAGTGTGTAAGAACCTCTGTCTCTTCAGGTTTCGAGATTTCCCTCCCCTCACCCTTGAAATGGACTCTTGTGGGAGCAGGACAGAGAGAAATGTCTTGCTGTGGGGTCCCAGGTGTCTGGGGCTTAGGCTCCTACTTTGAGTTCTTTCAAATCTTTCAAGGAAAGAGTTCTGGACTGGGAAGAAGGGAGCCTGGTTTCAATACTAACTCTTTGACCTTGAGCAAGTTGCTTCCTTCCTTGTCTTTGCATTCCTCATCTGACAAATGGGCCAGTGAATCCATCTGTCCCCCTTCCTTCCTTCTTTCCTTCCTTCCTTCCTTCCTTCAGGGAGGTTGTGAGGAATCTCTGGCTGTTAAAGCTCCTGGGTTTGCAAGTTCTGGTTTATGACAGGGGTCTGCACAGGGGACCATGTCTAGGAGTGATCAAGAAGTCATCCTTTTAGTCCCTCAGTCTTTGAGTCTCACAAGGCCAGAGCAGGGTAGATGGTCTAGTCTCATGGAATAAACCAGTCAGGAAATGTGATGTCACCACACTGCAATACTGTTTAATTGAGTGGCCATCATAGTACCACCCTTGCTTGTCCCGGGGAATCCCTACCACATAGCAGCGCTCCCTCCATCCTGCCAGGGCCTCAGATCCCCCCACATCCTGGTTGGGAGGGGAGATGGCTGGGTAGGTCCCCATCCCTGGGGAAATGGCTGCTAGGGCTGGGTCCGAAACCACGTTCTCGCTTTGAGGCCATTCGAAGCCCCCTTCTTCAATGGAAGATCATGAGTTCCTAGGACTCCTAGTGGCAGACATTGGGCTTTCAGGGCCCAGCTCCTGAGAGCTGGAAGCCCCCAGGGGCAAAGAGCAGGGTCTTCCAGGAAAGCAGAGAGAAGTCCCCCTTGGGGGTAGAATCTGGCTGCCCTCCTGCTGGAGAGAGAAGAGAAGAAGGCGAGGGGTCAGCAGGGCTGGGGGGCGTTGAAGCAGCTGAGGGAGGGGGCAGCGGGCTACTCACCTTGTACAGACACACAGCCGCGTCTCTTCTCCCCTGCAACAGACGGCACGGTGAGCCTTCCGCGTGGATAGGTCCTCACACCCCAAGCTTCCCTTCCCACCAGGCCCTGGTGTGGGCCATTCCCCTTCTCAATCCAACTTCCCTTCTAAACGCTGACTTCTGGCTTTCTTTCCTCTTCCTGCCCCTGGGAAATCTCCCCAGATTGCTGATCCATCACCGCTCCCGGCCTGGCCCCTGCTGCTCCTCCATCTGTCCCTGCCTCAGCACTTAGGAACACCATATACACGGCCTGTCAACCCCATTAAGCCCAGGGCCTCCTGAGATCTGAAGCAGCACCCCTGTCACTTTCCTCTGCTTATCAACCTCAACCAGGTTCTTGTGGTCAATTAGACTGTACAGCGGATAGAACATTTTGAGAGCATTCACAGAATCACTTGAGAATGTTCATAGATCCAGAAAACACTTCTAAGACCTTCTAGAAGCTGGCTGAACCTGTCACATAGAACAGCAACTCCAGCTGACTTCTAGCCCTCAACTCCCCCATGAACCAAGCCGGTGTCCCGAAGGGGCGTCCTAGCTTATTTCCCCCACCCTGCCGGTCCTGCTTCCCTCATACATGGCTCACCACCCAGATAGGCGCAGTTAAAGTGGCTGCAGGTCTGATTATAGCTCCAGAGAGTCACCAGGCTCTGGGCTCCATCCTGGGAGAACCTGGTGACCAAGAAGACTTCATGGGGGGGTATCAGCACCTCACGCTCCTCAGGAAAGACAGACAAGGCCTGGATAGGGGCCCCGAAGCAAGTCCTTAGAGAGAAGAAGGTGACATTCCCAAATCTGCGGGCCACTGCCTCATCCAGGGAGCTGGAAGCAAACTGGCCCAAGCGGACAGAGTCCCCCAGTCTCTTGGGTTCAAAGTGGAGGGTGCCCACGCCTCGGAACACCACCTCTCCAGGTCCCTTGCTGCAGCCCCCACTGCCCTGCAGCAGCTGCAGGGCCCGGGTGAGGTAGAAATGCAGGGCCTTGAAGGGGAAGTGCTTCATGTAGAACTCCTGGGAGCTGCCACCGGTCCGCACCGCCTGGTTCAGCTCCCAGTACAAAGTGTTAGATGAGTTGGTGTAGACCATGACGGCGATTCCGTGCTGCGCTTTGAAGCCAGGGGGCAGGGGGAGCCCTCGGTGCTTGTGCTCCCAGGCCTCCCGGGCTGCCTCCCAGGACTCCCGCAGCAGGGCGTGGCGGGCCATCTCCTCCTTCAGCAGAGGGACCGCCTTCTCTTCCATCTCCTCCGCACAGCCCACATAAGCATCGTCGAAGGTGTCTGGAGCCAGGCCCAGGGGCAGGATGGGAACAGCCTGAGCCTACAAATGTAGGAAAGAGAGGAGCCGCATAGGAAAGGGGAGACGTTCAGAGCACTGGACAGGGGCCCTGGTGGCAGATCAGTCCAGAAACATCAGTATCTCGTTTCTAGGAGCAACTATCTAGTGTATGCAACTTGGCAAGAGCTCAAGGGCTTAAATAGCACAGCACTGGAGACAGACGTGGGTTCAAATTGTGACTTCCCTGCCTACTAGCTGTGGGATCTTGGGCTAGTCTCTTAACTTTTCTGAGTTTCAGGTTCTCCACGTATAAACTGAGGATACTTCCAACCTCACAGGGATATTGTGAGGACAGCATATAGATCTTCACTTCCGTACAGTGTGAAGGGGTCATTTTGTCATTAGAGAAGTTCTGCACCTGGTAGGAAATGGCGCTAGATGACTTCCAAGCGCTGTTCTGGCTCTAAGACTCAGGATACAGGTGATATACAAATATACAGCCAATGTCTGATGACCTGACCCAGTCCCCATCCTTAGATTCTCTTCCCCCTTCATGCCAGCACACCAAGACATTGTAATCTCTGAGACTCCTGAGTCCTCTCCTGCTTTAGAAGCCCATATTCCAAAACATGCGGGGGGGGGGGGTAGGGTGGAGGAGGTCAAGCCCTGGTCTGGGAGGGGTTGCAGGAGGGCAGCACACAGGTGGCCCAAGCCAGTTTGCCTGGGCTGAGCCTGCGGGGGCAGACAGGACGTGGGGAGGAACGATATGAAGGAAGATCCTAAGAGGACCAGTGTATGGAGGTGGAGGTTCTGGGAGAGATAGTAAGAACCTGGGGCTCCCTCTAGGGATGGAGGTTCCTGAGAAGAAGAGGATTAAGAGGACTGGGATCCTAGAGAAGAGTACGTGGGGAAGATTTTTGAGGAGTCAGCCTCCCAGTCCACCTCTTCCGGGTCTGCCCCTGACCTGTTCCCTTTGTAGCAGTAGTAGGTTCTCCCAGTTACCTGCCAGAGGGCATGGAGGCCGAGGTAGCTGAGAGCCATCAGCAAAGCCGCCAGCATCCTTCCTGGGGGCGACTCAAGGGTGGGCGAGGTCCAGATGAAGAGGGCAGCACTGGCGATGGGCTGGGAGACAAAGACCAGGGTCCCTTCCTCTGGGGTGTGAAGGGTCTCGTCCAGGATCCGGCCCAAGCGGGTGTGGGCGGGGCCAAGGGCGGGCCTAAGGGAGTGGGCGGGGCCTTAGATTTCATTGTGTACCCCGCACAACCCCAGGGCTCCGCTCCCCAGATTCCCACTAGCCCCCATGTTCCGCGTCTTCTGCTCGGGGGCTTTCTTGCGATGGTAAAGGCGGAGCCATCATTTGGCTCCGCCCGGAGAGGGGAGGGGGCGGAGAGCCAGGGACCCACCTGGAAGTTTCAGGGACGACGGCGGGAAGGAACACTGACCGCTCGGGCCGGCGGGGGGCTTAAGTCCCGGCGGGTGCTGCGCTGTCCCGGGACTCTAGCCGATCAACAAAGTCCCGCGGCTAACTATAGCCCCCGCGGCGGTAACCCGACACCTCTCTTCTGCAACAACGGACACGGGGTGGGGAAGCGGGAGTGGCGCGGGAAGGGGCCGAGGGGCGTACCTCCCCTTCCCTAGGATTGCGAGTTCTTTCTCCAGAATTCGCTTTGGCTCCGAAGGAGACCAGGGTTGGGGGGAGGGACTTGTGAGACTTGGCCTCTGCCTCCGATGGGCCCCGACCTGGCGGACCCCCAGCTCTCAGACCACTAGACCCGGGAGGCCCACGAGAGTCCCGCCCACCAAGAACTCTCTGCTGGTGCACTCGCTGATTTGCATGCAATTTGCATATGGCCCACGCATTGGGGCACGCGTGATCCAGCATCTGAGTGCACCCACCCGCCCCCTTCCCTTCAGTAGGGTTGGACCAGCTCTCTGTCTCCCATCCTCAGGGGCAAGCCCGTCTCCCTCCACAGCCCCTCTCTCTCTGGACCTCTTAGACCCAGGTGACCCCATGTTTATAAACACTAGCTTTCCCCCTCCCCTGCTGTGGGCCTGTCTATAAATAACCTGGCTCTGAGTTTTGGATGCCCAATCAGAAGTAATGGGAGAAGGGACCAGTTGAGAAATCAGTAAGCAGCTCTGGGGACAGCTTTCTGGCAGCCTGAGCCCTGGGGGTTGGAGGGTTACTTCCAAAGTGGTCAGGGGAGTTGGGGGTCCCAAATGTCAGGATTTAAGAGATGCTTCCTGCTGCTTGCTGGAGCTGAGGTGGGCATAGAAGGTTAGACTTAACCTCAGGGCCTCCATCCTGGTTTGGCTCATTCATTTAGCCCCATCCCCATTGCCCCATTCCCGCAGGCTGCCAGCCCAAATAAAGAATTTCCTTCTTCTAGAATCCTGCTTTCTCCAAAAATCCTTCCTACAGACCAAAAAAGACAAACTGTGTGCCTGGGCTTGGAGAAATGTGGGGAGGGAGATGGGACAAGTGTCATCCCAAAAAACCAGAGCACTTATCAGGCAAACACAGCCTCTATACAAGTACTCTAGTCCCCTTCCAATGAGATGGACCATCCCGAAGCTCACCTAGATTAGAAAATCCATTTCTCTACTGTTTACCATTACTGTGAAAAACCACATCTTGCCTGTTTATCCTGACTGCCTCTCACCCTGGAGGACCCTGAGCACCTGCAGTTGTTGGAACAGAAGATAGGGTCTGGGAGAGCCAGGCCTGCTAAAACAAGTCCCCGGTACCAGATCCACTGGGATCAGGGCTTTGTCCTCTCCTCACATGGAAGTGCTTCTCCCATCCCCAAATGTGGAACTCCAAGAAAGTCCCCAAGAGATGGAGTCAAATTTCGTCACTGAGCCGGGGAGCCCTGAGTGAGGCAGAAAATCCTCCAAGATCACAGAGCAAATCAGGGCTGGCCAGACCCAGCCTCCTGAATCTGGGAAAATTTCTCCTTGCACGTTAGGTGAGTCTCCATGCTCAAATAAAAGGAACACAAAGTAAAAAGATACTGAGGACAGGGGTGCTGTGCACAGGACCAAACCCAGTGCGGAGACAGTTGTTCTAGCCTGGATCCTCGATGCCTCAGCCCACCTTCTCTCTGGCCTCAGAGGTTCCCTTCTTTATGGGAGGTACACTGGCCCAGGGCAGACTGGGCAGAGGCTAGTGTTCCCAAGCCTTCAGGAGACATCCAGAAATAGATGGGGGAGTGTCACATTTCTGAGCAGCTGTGTGGGTACAAGGGGTGGGGGACTGACAGTATAAAGGAGAAACCTGCCTTCCCCCTCCCCCGGTGGCCATCACTGGAGACCGACACCAGCTTCCCTGGAGAAGGCCTAGGTAAGGGGCACACCACCCTCCTCCTGGGTACAGGGCAGGGAAAGACTTTTTTTAAAGGGGAAATTTGGGGTACTGATGGTGGAGTTCTAGGAGTCGTTAGGAACAGCTTCAGGGCACCTTTTGTCTTAGTCTGTTCAGGCTGCTATGAAATACCACAGACAGTTAACTTATAAACAACAGACATTTATTTCTCATAGTTCTGGAGGCTGAAAATCTGAGATCGGGGTGCCAGCATGGTCAGGTGAAGGCCTTCTTTCTGGCTCATAGCGGACACCTTCTCACTACGTCCTCACATGGTGGAAGGGGCTAGGGAGCTCTGCAGGGTCTCTTTTACGAGAACAGTAATCCCAGGGCCCTCATGAACTAATTATATCCTAAAGGCCCCACCTTCTAAAGCCATCACAGCAGACATTAGGATTTCAACATATGAACTTTGGAGGGACATAAACATTCAGACCATAGCACCTCTGATGGAGAGGTTCAGGATACCTGGAGGGTTTGGGGACATTGGGAAATTGGGGGGTTCCTGGGGAAGAGATCTGGAGTCACATCCCCAGAAGGGAATGTTCCGTGAGGGTCTGGATGAGGAGAAACTGACAAGTGCCCTGAGCAGGATGAGAGGAAAAACAGAAGAGCAGGTAAGATATAAGGGGTTGCCCAGTGCCTCCATTTCCTCGCCTCCCATAACCACACCATCACTCTGGCCCCACCCCATCCCCCCCAACACTGCTCACCAAAGTCATCAATCTACCTGCTCTTGCAGTGGTCTACACTGTTAGCTGCACCCAGAAAGCTCTCAGACTCAGCAGACATTCCAGGAGGCCTCATCTGTGCCTGGCTTGTGCTGAGCTCTGGGGACACAGCATGGGTCATGCCTGGTCCCTGCCCTCAAGGAACTCACAGGACAGCAGGGGAGCCAGACACATAAGGGCAGCACAGTATGATTAGGACAGTGACCGAGGAAAGCACAGGGTGACTGAAGATCACAGAGAAGTCGGAGGGCTCCCTGGAGAAGGTGACCCCTGAGCTAAGTCTTGAAAAGTGGATAGCAGGATGGCAATGTGTGCAGGGCCACAGGGAGGGAAGAATGGAGCCTGCAGCTTTGTTCTGTTCTGTAGAAGCCACGCACGGTGCGGGGGGGAACGGCAGGGCACAAGGCTGAAGATGCTGTGGAGGGCTAGGTCACAGAGCACCTCAAATGCCAGCATGAGGAGGGCTCTGTCCTGAGGGCGTAGAGGGAAATTGTATTTTGCTGGGTTTTTTTCCTTGTAGATGTGTTCTCATCTCTTCCCTCATAATTTTCATCTCTGCATTTTTACTCTGTATGTTATTTCTTCCAGTCAGGTTTGGCACAGAGGGTTCTTAAGCAGGTAAGCAACCTGAGCAGTTGTGCTTGAGAAACACTGGTCTCCCTGCTCTGTGGAGGGTGGATCAGCAGGGGTGACAGTGGAGATCAAGGGGGAGGCAGGGGCAGATTGAGCCATGGAAGGGACGGGGAAATGGAAGGAGCTTCTAGGATGGACCCATATTGTGATTAACATTTAGCTGGCAACTAATTTAGTGTTTGATGAATGATCAAATGTGTTTGATGAAGTGACCATCTTGGGTGACTTGGTGAATAATGGGGATAGATATTACATGAGACTCGTCTGATGGCAAGTTAACAGGAATCACCACAAGCTAGATGAAGCCTAAAGAGGAATTATCACAAGGATACTGGGGTACTTCATGGGACCCAAGTGAAGAGCTTCTAGAAACCCAAGGTGTCTTGGTCCACCGGTGCTTTGGCTTCAAGCAGCTTTCTTTGCTGCTCAGTCCTCTTTTTCCTCTCTCCCTGGGGATCTCATGTCTTTTCTGACTTCAACACACATATCACTCAAATGTCTCATCTTATTGTCCATTCTTTTATCTCTTGGACATTTGCCCCTTAAGAGTCCACACGTGCCAAACTGAACTCACTGTTTCCCCTCCAAAGATGATGGTTCATTCATTTTTTATTGAGCACCTACCATGTGCTGGGATGGGCAAGATGAGCTTTTGAAGTCCACTCTGCTCCTCCTCTGTGTTGGCAACCTAGAGCATGGAAGCCTGCATGTCATCCTTGGTTTTTCCCTCTGACACATCTCCTATATCCCATCAGACACCAAGTCTAGTAAATTACACCTAGTAATTCTGGGTCCATCCTCACGGCCAGTATCTTAGGCCACATGCGTCAATGTCCTCAGTCTGATTTCTCAAGCCCCCAGTCTCTCTCTCACTGCCTTGTCTTTGCAGGACAGAGATGGGGAAAGAAACAAAGGCCAGAGAGAGGCAGCAAGAGCCAGAGTCGGCCTAGTGAGTTTCTGCTGAATCACCATTTTGCTACGTTCCACAATCTCAGTGGCATGCAAAGATTTATTCTCACGCTCATGAGTCCTCAAGTTGGCTACCGAGTGGCTGAAGTGGGTTTGATCAGGGTCCTCTGCTTCAGGCTGCCAGTCTGCTGGCTGGGCTCAGGTCTGCTCCTTATGTGGGTCATTCTGGGGTCCAGGCTAAAGGGACAGTTCTGGGCCACATTCTGACGGTATGTGATCCAAAAAGACCCTCTCTCGGTTTAGATCCCCCCCAAAGCAGATCCAGAGACAAGGACTTGGGTGTAGTGAGCTTATTTGTAAGTTAATCCCAGAAAGTACAAGTGAAAGAGTGGCAAAGTGGGATGGAGAAGAGAGGAAAGCCCCCCCGCCCAAAAAGTGTGTTAATGAACACACTGTGACCACTGTGGTCAACTGGGGCTTAGTCCTCTGGCACCCTCGGTAGCAAAGAGAATCTACCACCCCTCCTTGGTTAAGGGTTGTCCCTGGGAACATTAAATCCCCTGCACTTTGGGGCTGCTCTGAGCAAGCTTACAGGGTGATGGAGAAAGCCCTGGACACAAAAATAATATAGAGCACTAGAGGTAGGAAGCTCGGCATGAGGTGAGGTGTCAGCATGTACCAGAACTCTCCACTGCACCTGTGTGTGGATGTGTGTGTGTGGGGGGGGGGGTGCTGAACCATCAACATTTACCTCCAAGAACCAGAGGGGATTATGAAGCAGGGATGCTTAACCTGAGATGGGGGCAGAGACATAAGCACTGGAAATTCATGTAATACTGTGTGAGGGTACGTGTATCCATTTTCAGCTTTCATCAGATTCCCAAAGATAAAGAACCACTGACTGTCTTGCCATTTTAAAAGGAGGAAAACAGGAATACCTGTGAATCTGCTTATATGTGCATAGCCTATCTTTAGAAAGACACACAGAAGATGGGAATGTTGGTTGCCTCTGGAGAGATGGGGTGAGGAATTAGTGAGAGAAAGGTGTTTCACTGTGTGCCTTTTGGACTATTTAAATTTTGAACAATGAAAATGTATTACCTTTAGAAAATTAAAACTTTAAAACAGTAAAAATTAAAGTTAAGATTGATCTTATTAGTGAGCAGAGATGTGAATTAAAAAGTAGATACCAGGGGCGCCTGGGTGGGTCAGTTGGTTAAGCGTCTGCCTTCAACTCAGGTCATGATCCCAGGGTCCTGGGATCGAGCCCCGCATCGGGCTCCCTGCTTGGCGGGGAGCCTGCTTCTCCCTCACCCTCTGCCTGCCACTCTGCCTACTTGTGATCCCTCTCTCTGTCAAATAAATAAATAAAATCTTTAAAAAAAAAAAGTAGATACCATCTGTGGCCACCAGTTAAGTGAAAGTTCAAAAGAGATCATGGTAACCAGCACTAGCAAAGATGTAGAGGAAAGGGCACTCTTCGTTGTTGTGGACAGGCAGACCAGTGCCTCTGGCAATTTGGCAGTGCCAAATAAACAATTCTTATCCTTTAAACATCAAATAACTTCTTGATATCTTTTCTATAAAAATATGTGCACAAGGGGCACCTGGGTGGCTCAGTCGTTAAGCATCTGCCTTCGGCTCAGGTCATGATCCCAGGGTCCCGGGATCGAGCCCCGCATCGGGCTCCCTGCTTGGCGGGGAGCCTGCTTCTCCCTCTGCCTCTGCCTCTCTCTCTCTGACCCTCCTGAATAAATAAATAAAACATTAAAAAAAATATGCACACAAGTAGGCAAAGATTTCTACACAGGGATGTTCACTGAAGTACTATGTGTAATGTCAAAAATGTCAAAAAATTAGGGAAAAAATCTATGTCCATCAATAAGAAAATGGTTGAACAAATTATGGTTTAACTACATTACGAAATTCCATGCTGCCATTATAATGAATAGGTAGATATGTATATATGATGTAGAAGGAAGTCCCTGATATAGTGTTTCCTGGAGAAAAGCTTACAGGATATGTATGTGAAAGCATGTTCCTCTTTCTTTTTGGAAAAAAAAAAAAAAGACAAACCAGCCTGTGTACAGAAAACGATGTGTGTCTGCATATTTAAGTATTAAATTATTTGCACATGCATCAAAAATGGTCCTACAGGACACTACGATCACGGTAGCAGCAGGCACGGGTACGAGTGAGAGATGACATGGAGAGAGAGAGAAAACCGGGGCTTGGACTCATTCATACTTTTTTCTTTTCACTACAAGCGGGCATTACTTTGTAAAGAAAGAAACAAAGCAGCGGCAGGACTGATTTAGAAACCGCTGGGACTCTGCCTTCTTGGAGCCTCACTCCCCACCCCATCCTCTTCCCATCTCCCAGACCCCCTCCCTCACCCCTTGGGGGTCTACACCTGTCCCTGCCCTGGAAGCAGTTGAGAGCCTAGGGGAGGAGGGTTCAGTGTGCAGCAGGACTGCGGGGCGGGGCGGGGTGCGGGGCGAGGGTGGCTGGATCCTGTCCCTGGAGTACTGCCATGGCCCCACCAGCTGGCCAGTCCTGGACCTGTTCCAGCCTCACATCCCCCATGGGGTGAAGCCCAGACCTCTTACCGCGGCCGTCAAGACCTTTCACGACGGGGCCCAGTCTTTCCAACATTCCCTCACTGCAAGCTCTGCCACGCTGGACAAAATGTCTTTCACTTTTTACATCCAATACCTTTGCTCTTCTCATTTCTGCTGCCCTGGATGTCTTCTCCACCCCAAGTCCCTCTCCTATCCTAGTTTCCACTGATTGAAACCTTCTTCTCCTATTCTTCCTGTAAGACCCTGTTCAGATAACACCTCCTCCAGGAAGTCTTCCGTGTTCCCTCCAGCAAGAAGGGTCCTCTCTTTCTCTTCCGAGCCTTTGTTTCTTTCTCTTTTTTTAGGATTATTAGTTTATTTGATAGAGAGAGAGAGAGAGCACGAGCAGCGGGGTGAGGAGCAGAGGGAGAAGCAGGCTCCCTGCTAAGCAGGGAGCCCGATGCGGGGCTCGATCCCAGGACCCCGGGATCACGACCTGAGCCAAAGGCAGACGCTTGACTAACCGAGCCACCCAGGGGCCCTGAGCCTTCATTTCTATGTTGTGACTCTGTGCCGAGCACTGGGAGTGACACAAACTAGGTGTCTGTTAATGTTTATTAAACTGTACAGATTAACATTCCCATTTTCTAGATGAAGAAACTGAGACCCAAAGAGAGACAGTAACTTGTCCAGGGCTGCCGCGAACATGCAGACGCCCGCCGTGCTCTCTCTGCTGCTTGTGTGCACGGGCCTCATGGAAGCACTACCGCAGGTACGGGGCTCCCCACTGGGCCCAGGCCCGCAGGGAGCTGCACTGTTGGCTTGCTCGGAAGTCTGGGAGGAGGGGCCGCGGGAGGAGAGAAGGACTGATATTTCCGGTGGGGCTCGCCCGGCCTGGGGGACAGCCCCTGACCCGGTCTCTGAGAGCGCGGCTACTTTGGCGCTTTCAGTGTCCTTCTCCATAGGCTCCCATTCTCCTGAGGCTCATCCTCTCAGGCCTCACTGCTCCGCCTCCGCCAGGCCCAGGGCCACCCCGTCACTCGACGAGACCTCTTCTCTCAAGAACTGCCCCTGGACATGGCCCCGGCCTCCTTCGATGACCAGTATGCCGGCTGTGCAGCCGCCATGATGGCCGCTCTCCCAGACCTCAACGAAACCGAGTTCCAGGCCAACAAGGTGTACGCTGATGGCTGGGCGCTGGCGAGCAGCCGGTGGCAGGACCGCCAGGCCTGGGGACCAGAGTGGGGCCCCAGGCCTACCCGGCTGCCCCCGCCGCCCCCTGGCTTCCGCGATGAGCACGGCGTGGCCCTCCTGGCCTACACCGCCAACAGCCCCCTGCACAAGCAGTTCAACGCCGCCGTGCGCGAGGCGGGCCGCTCCAGAGCCCACTACCTCCACCACTTCTCCTTCAAGACACTCCATTTCCTGCTGACCGAGGCCCTACAGCTGCTGGGCAGGGGCCAGAATTCTCCCCAGTGCCGCCAGGTGTTCCGAGGGGTGCACGGCCTGCGCTTCCGGCCGGCGGGGCCCGGGGCCACTATCAGGCTGGGGGGGTTTGCCTCCGCGTCCCTGCAGAATGTTGCAGCCCAGCAGTTTGGGGAGGACACCTTCTTTGGCATCTGGACTTGCCTTGGGGCACCTATCAAGGGCTACTCCTTCTTCCCTGGGGAGGAGGAGGTGCTGATCCCCCCCTTCGAGACCTTCCAGGTGATCAATGCCAGCAGACCCGCCCAGGGCCCTGCCCGCATCTACCTTCGGGCCCTGGGCAAGCGTAGCACGTACAACTGCGAGTACATTAAAGGTAGGTAGGGCGCACGCTGGGTAGCACCTGTGCTCAAGACGGGCTCCCCCTTGGTCTCAGGGGACGCGTACATCAATATCACAATCAAATGAACAGTGAGGGGGACCCAGTCCTGTCCCTCTGCCCCTCCACCCTGTGCATCTAAGGGGAGACAACCTTCTGAGGGAGTATGCCACTTGTCCTTGGAGGTACCTAAGCCGGAGCTGGCCACCTGCCTGCTGGGAGGCTGCAGAGGGTTTCCTGACTGAGGCAGGTGGCCATTTGAGGGCCAAACAGGCTCTTCTTCCAGCTGGAAGCTGGAAGGCAATTAATTTCTGGCCACAGTGCTGACACCCAGACCATTACTGCCAGGTATGAGTAAGAGGCCCAAACTCAGTTTCCAGGAGGGGCACGTGTATTTGACTGAATGGAAACCCTGTGCTGTCATGTGGACCGGGTGGGGGTGCAGGTGGGGTGCTGAGACAGCAGTTGGGTGCCATGCCCCATAGTCCTAGCTCAGACTGTCTATCCCCCAGGACCAGCCAGAGGTGGAATCATGAGGACAGGCCCAGGTTCTTTATCTCTGAAGGGGCCACAGGTCCTGGCTGAGTGAGGCCCACTTTGCATAATTAGAGGCAGGTTGTTGGCTGGAGCTGTGGACCACATCTAAAATGGGAGAAGGTCCAGTGCAGCTTCCATTTCCACCTTGGTCAGCATCGTGGGTGTGCATGAGTTGACAGAAGGTGAGGAAGACATGCAAAGTACATGAACCAGTATCTCCTTGCCTGGGACAAGGTGTGGGAGAGGTGGTTACACTGGGAGGCAAAGTTATAGGCCAAGGAAGCAGGAGGAGCACCCAGAAGAGACCCTGGCTTTGAAGGCTGGCTCCCTTCTAGCTCTGCTGCTCACAGGTCAAGTCAAAGGCCGGCAAGGGAGGTCCCACCAGAAGGAAGCTGAGTTAGGGGAAAATGTACTAGCTTCTCTGAGAACAAGCTGGGATGGACCACAGGGTTCTGGGGTTCTTTCCTGTCCTGAGAGCTACTGAACCTTTGATTCTTTATTCTTTCTTCCCTACAGACAAGCAGTGCAAGTCTAGGCCTTGCCGCCTGGGTAACTCAGGTAAGAGCTGCAAGCTTCTATGGGGCTCAGCTCAAGGATGAGCAGGCTGCCCTGGGGTTGGACTCCTCTCCTGGATGCACATCCGTCTTGAAAGGAAAACAACCCCCTTTTCATCAAAACAAGTAAACCCTCTTAAGCAGACCCCTGTGGGGGTGGTGAACCTCTCTTAGAGGACATATATGTGTGTATGGGGCAGTGGTCATGCAAGCTGACACACCTGCCCCCCAGTCTGGTGCTGCCCCTTTCCCTCACAGGAGGCCACTGATTGGGCCCCAGAGAGATCCGGGCTGCACTGAGGGGATGGAGGGAAGGGCCACTCCCACAGTCCTCCCTGGGCCTTCTCCTTCAGCCGCAGGATCCACTGTCTCTATTACTGCCCCCAGGGCTCCCTTAGACCATCTTCCAAGGTCGAGGTCAGGCCCTGGGTGCTGGAGACCTGGACTCTCATCCAGGCTCTGCCCTAACTCTCTCTCTGACCAATCAATCCCTTTCTGGGCCTCAGTTTTCCTATCTGTATAATAAGCATATAGACTAGATGATCCCCAGGTCCCTTTCAGCTGTGATTCTTTTCTTCCCTTGAATACCTGCTGCACCCGGGCCTGCCTGGGCCTCACTTCCCCAGGTGGGAAGGGGCTTTTCCAGGGAAACCAACTGGAATAGGCTGGGAAACTACAGCCACTACTCCCCCTTGGGCCCCACCTCCCTCCTCCAGGGCTCTGTGAACAGTGGGCAGGAAGGAGCCCCAGCCTCCTCTTTGTCCCCACCATTCTCCATGACACAGTACCACTCAGAGTCCAGGCATCCTCACCACGACCCAGTGGTGTACGCACTGTCATTGCCCCTGTTCTACACATGAGGTTAACTAAGATCCAGAGAGGTGAAGCAACCAGCCCTACACACACAGCTAGTAAGGGGTGGGGTCCAGACAGCCAAACTCTGAACCACCACACTACCTGGCCCCCACCTATCCCCAGACACCATCTCATTTTATCCTTACTGTGTAATAAAATATTGGAAGGGGGAAGAACAGGGAGTATTGCCCTCATTATATAGTAAAGGGAGACCCAGAGACAGAAGTGACCTGCCCAAGGGGACAGAATCAGTCAGTGGCAGAGCCAGGGTCAGAATCCAGATCTCCAGCCTCCAACCAGCTTGAGTGCCGGTAATGTCATCTCAAGCACTGGACAAGGTTAGAATCCCCCCGCCCCCACCGCCCAGTCCACCAGTAATCAGGGGTTGGGCAGAGGGGCAAAGATGAGCGTCACTAGAACCCACTCACATGGCTTCCCCTTGTTCATCCCACCCAGCAATGGCTCATTTGTGTCAGTAGGAGGCAGGGGCACAGACCCTCCTAGGGACCTCTGCAAGGGGACCAAGGGCTCTTTCATCTGCCTGCCGTCCTCCCTGAATTCTTGCTCTCCATCTCTGGCTCCCACTGCACCTTGTGGGTCAGTGTTTCCAGCCCACTCTGCTCATTTCTCATCATGTTTCTTTGTATACCTCATTTTGCCCCGAAACCTCTCTCTCTGCCTCTGTTTTTCCTACAGCCATCGGTCAAGGACCCCCTTCTGCAGTCTGGTCCCTCCTACTGCCGCTCTGGTTCCTTGTCGGGGGAACTTTTCTATAGAGTCCAGGCCTGCCATGATCCATCCAACGCTGAACAGCCCCACCTGCCCAATGTGCTGCCTCGACCTGACATGGGGATATCGGCCTCGCGTGTGTTTTAAGAGCAGCCAGGATCCATGGTGACTCCCTCTGCAGGAAACTCTGGGACTTTCTCTGGCAGCTGCCAGGTTTGCTGATGGAGAATTAAGGGAATCTGGGGACTGAGCCTTCCCCAAGGCTTTAAGAGTGAGTCACTGAATGGGGGTGGGGGTCTCTACAGCAGGCAACCACTCATTTGGAGATTGGAGATTGGAGATTGAAGATTAAACTAGTTTGGGAAAGATTGGGGAGGAAAGCACTTGGCCACGGTATTTGCTGATGTTGCTCAAATGGCTCACATGTGCACCTGGAAAGCTCCTTTTCACTCTTCCAGGAAGCCTTCTCGGACCTCTCCCAGCTGGCTGGGTTAGGGGCCCTGCCTCTTTGCTCCCACAGGTCCCTGGCTGCTTCCCTACACCACGTGTCAATGTTTGTCTTCCATGTCAGACTGTGAGCTTCCTGAGGGCAGGGACTGGGTCTAAAGCACAGATGTAGTGCCAGACAGTGTGGGAAGTCAGAAAGGAACAAACACCTTGTGAATGGCTCATCTCTGCATTGCCCCACCTTGGCCACTTTCAAGCTCTCTGAATGTCAGTGTGTGGGAATGATGTGGACTGACTCCAGCTCCAGAGGGCAGAGAGCAGGGACAGCATTAGGTCCTCTGCCAGGGTCTCAACTGAATGCTCAGTTGAATTCTTGTCAGCAAAGACATAATTTCTGCCCTGATTTATGCATCCTAAGGCTCCTGTCTCTAGAGAGACAAACCTGGATCCCCAACTTCCACTACCATAGGCCCCAAGGGACATTAAAGAGGTGCTAGGCACACACTTTCTTTATTATGACTTGGGGCTTTGGGGCCAAATCCTCATGTGGCCTCCTGTTCTGGAAATGAGAGAATGAATCCTTAATCCCCCTCCCTGAGTCCCTAGGCAGGGACAGGCACGATCAAGTCCCAAACACAACAGCCACCGAGGAAGGAAGAGAAGACAAGGAAACACGGTCGTTCTGTTTCTCCGGTAGCTTGCACTCTTGCCACCAAAATCTCTAACAAGCAGCATCAAAATTCAATTCAGTCCTTCCAGACTGCGTTCCGACCTTGGCCCTTCTCAGAATTCCTCTTCTGTAGGAATTAGGGGAGTGGCAAGCTCTGGATTTCCCTTAAAGTTTAAGGCATATAGACAAGTGATCCCTGTGGTTTGTGAAGTCAGCAGTGCTGATCCTGGAGAGAGGGCGTCCCCGGCTCTCAGGCACAGTGGGGAGAGACTGGGTGGCCTATCCGAGAGCCAACCACCACCTGGCCTTTCCATCCCAGTCTGGAGGGGCTGTGGCTGCACCAGACCCCTGGGACTCACAGGGCCCGCACCAGCACCAGGAGGCTCATGACCAGGGCCATGGAGAAGAAGATGCCCAGGAAGAAGCGATCCATGACACGGGCCAGCCGCTTCCAGTCCTCATGGCGGCGCTGGGCAGCCCGGTGGCTGTGAAAGGTGTTCGCGATGGTAGCTACGTGGCGCAGTAGGGCTTCCTGACGGCACAGACACCGTGGCTCGCGGCAAGGAACTGCCAGAGGGCGAGCACCTCCGTCAGGAGGCTGGGGACTGAGGGGTGACTCAAGTGGCCTAGACTGCCCACAGGGCTCCCCTCGTTCCCGCACGCACAAGCCCCTTGCCAGGTGTCCCAGCAGGAGGGCCCGAGCCCAGGATGGCACTGGTCGGGCACTGGGACCACAGTAGTGCAGGTTCATGATAAGGATGGTGAGCGCCGTGGAGAATGTGACCATGGTCATGGTGGCCATGTAGTACTTCCCTGCAAGAGAGAGAGTGAGCTGGGGCCCAAAACAAGAACTCAGGGAGCCTGAGCTTGCCCACCGCCTCAACACAAACAGGCACCAGCTCACCCGCCGTGAGGCTCTCAGGACCCTCCAAACCCAATGGATGGATCCAGGAAGGAGGTTAAGGGCCAAGATCTCCTCATCCCCTATTCTTACAAGTGAGTTCTCAGAAGCTACCTGCTGCCTAATTGTTCTCCTCACTGCTGGACGCTGCACTCCCCCACAGTCCGTGAAAAGTCACACTCTCAGATGGTACACGCACAATCTGGGGCAAGTTACTGATCCTTCTGGCACAACTGGGATAACAGAACCTACCTCACAGGTTTGTGGTGGTGCCTCTCTGAGTTAATAAAAAAATGTCAAGTGCTTAGGAGAGGGCCTGGCACACAGCCAGAACTCAAGGCGTTTTGCCTGTTATGACAGGTGAGGGGTGGGGTGTCCTTCCTGGAAGGGGCCTACTCCTCTCCCCTCAATCTCTGAGGCATGCACCCAGGACGCGCCCGCCTCCCGCACGGAATCGGCGCTGCTCTGCTAGGCCGTCCAGCTCCCGCTCCCCCGCCGCGCCCCGGTGGAGGGTGGAGACCGGTGAGCAGCGGCCGGGGTGGGGGACAGTCTCCGGGCGGGGACGGCTCTCTCCGCACCCCCTCACTCTCCCCACCCCGCCACCGCCCAGCCCCGCGCCCTCGCGGCTCACCGATGAGTGGCACGCTCTCGGCCGGCGGCATGCTCTCGGCCAGCAGCAGCTGAAAGACGGTGAGCGCCAGCAGCACGGTGACGCCGAGCGACACCTTCTCGCCCGAGTCGGCGGGCAGGTGGAAGGCGAGCGGCGCGAGCAGCGAGATGAGCACGCAGGGCAGCAGCAGGTTGCACACGTAGGCGGCGGCGCGGCGGCGCAGCAGCAGCGTGAAGGTCACGTCGGGGTAGGGCTCGGAGCAGCAGCCGTAGGTGAGCACGCGCCGCCGCGCCGGCATGCCCAGCACGCGCCACTCCACGTTCTCCACGAAGTCGGCCAGGCTGGCGGCGGCGCCGCGCGGTCGCACGTCCAGCTGGTGCCCGCCGTGCGTCCACGAGCCGAACGTCAGGCCGCAGCGCTGCGCGTCGAACGGGAAGGCCGACACGTCCACGCGGCACGAGCTGCGCGTGATGGCCGGCGCGTCCCAGCGCACGGCGCCGTCGTGCCGCAGAACCACGTTGGTGCTGGCGGAGGCCGGCGGCTGTGCGTCCGCCCTGCGGGGCAGGCGGGGCGGGGCTCCCTGAGGCGGAGGCCGGGCGGACCCCTGCAGGGACCCTCTGACCCCAGGGGTCCTGTGGCTACCAGGGGCCGCGCAGAGGAGAGAGGGGGTGGCAGAGAGGGACCTTTGTGCCTTCAGAGGCTTAGAAGGGGTGGCGCCTGCTGGGCCCAAAGAGACAGATCTAGGCCAGGGCAGTGTGAAAACACAACTGTAAAAGTTGGCACCGGGGTGCTTAGTGTGATCTGCGAATCTCCTAGAGGGCCCCCGGGGAGAATATGCAGAGCCGTATGTTGTCTGGGAAACACAGAACTGGTTTAGGTCATAAAGGAATGCTCCAGAGGGTTAGGTCCTGGAGGAAGTTACCCTAGGCAGGCCCTCGGGGAGTCCTCAGAGACTTGGAGCCCGCCTGCAAGGGAGGAGTTTGCCATCGAGAGGCACTTGTGCCCCAGATCCCTCTCTGTGAGAGATACGGAACTGGCCCTGGACCACACAGTGGGTTCCCAGGAGGCATTCAGCCTGGGTTGGCTTGGGACAGGTTGAAGAGGGGGTGTCATGGAGGGGCTGTGAGCTCCTGGCAGCTTAGGAGCGTCTGGGGGAAAAGCTTCCAGGGCAGCGGGCTAACCAGGTTGGGTTGGGGGGTTGGGGAATCAGTGCATACCTAGAGCCCAGGGCAACCGTAGGGAGGGGCTCGGAGAAGGGAGGGGCCAAGGCAGGCCGTACTTGTTGTAGAGTACGATGTCCGGCCGCCACACGAGGCTGCTGGGGATGCGGATAGCATCCAGGCCACCATAGGCGTCGGGGTCCCATCGTAGGTAGGCATCTGTCCACTCCTGTCGGATCCACAGGTACAGGGTCAGCACCTGGTTCCGCTCATCCTAGTCGGGGGCAGGGAGTGGGCACAGATGTGGACGCATGTATATGCACACCCTTCCCTGTGTGTACACACTCACCTACAGAGCTCGAGACGGCACCCACAAACCCAGCTGGCTCACAGGCCAGTTCCTACCCCGGCCTGACCTTACTATGTGACTTTGGCAGTTTCTTTTCTTCTTTAGGCCTCAGTTTCCTTAGTAGTTACATGGGTGATAATCCCTGCTAGGCAGGAGCGTCAGTGTGCAAAGTGGTGGGCACACTGTGGGCACCCAGCAGTTAGTATCTGCTGTTATTGTTGTTAATATTAACATTTATAGAAATGCTTGGAGAATAATCCCAGTCTCTCATTACCCCCACCCCCACCCCGTTCCTCGACACTACCACCACAACACACCATGTCGATGATCTGGGACAATGTCACCTCCAGGGTCACGTTCAGAGCCTGGTCTGTGTCTGCCACAGGTCTCAGGGCATTTGTATAGTTGGTGAAGAGGTCATGGAAGAGCTTTCGAGCCAGCCTGCCCTCGGCTCCCAAGCACTCTGGGGGACCAGGAAGAAGGGTTGTCCATCTGAGACCCTTGGCCAGGGGCCTCTGCTCACACCCTCCACCCGCGCAAGGCTGGGGCCCTGTCACCTGCTCTGCTATCTCACGGCCACCTGACTGGTCCTCCTGAGGTCTGCTCTGTCCATCTAGCTGTGGCTCTCGTTCCTCCCTGGACTGCCTCCGCGGAAGAGTGATGTGGAGGCCGAGGAGGGAATTGCTGCTGTCTTCTGGAGCAAGGCTGACAGATTTCTTCCCCACCCTTTCCCTTCCTAAGGACATGGGTTCTGCCTGCCCTACTGCAAATGTCAGAGGGGCCCAAACAGGGGACAAGAGTCCCGCCTCTCCCCCAGGTATTGTGAACCCCATTGCCACCAGCCCCTGCTGTCTCTCAAACCTGTTTCCACTTATCCAGCTGCACATCTATGGATTTCTTCAAAGCTTCTGATGCTCTGGGCCATTCCGTCCTGAAAACACTCTCTTCCCTAGGCTTCTGTGACACACCACATTGTCTTCAGCCCCTGACTCAAGTATTGTTCCCCAGAATCCTGTCGTTGGCTTTTTTTTTTTGTAGCCCAGATTTTTCTCCTGAGCTCCAGACCCATAAATACAACAGTTCACTCCTGAATGTCCTATTGGCACCTTAAACTCTGTAGGTCCAAAATATGAACTCATTTCCTGCCCCCCTGAAACCTGTTTTTGGTTCTGTGTTCCCCCTCTCAGCAAAGCACCCATCCCCCCCACCGTGACCTCTGCCAGAAATCTGGGAATTATCCTTCCTTTCTGCCCCCTCCCCCTGCAACCCAACTGGTACCCAGGTCCTGTCAGCCATGCTGCTGGGCATCCTTTGAATGTCTAGTCGCCCCCGCAGCTTGAGTGGACCCAGCAGCAGCCTCCTCATGGCTCCTGCTGCGGGTGCAGCCTCTCTAAGCATCCCCCACATTTCTGAGATCAGGCCTTTAAACACTCAAGTCTGACCAGGCCGGTAGCTGCTTAAAACTATTCAGTGGCTCCTCATTGCCTGCTGGATAAAGTCCAAACTCAGCCTGGCATTCAACGTCCTTCATGATCTGCCCCACCCCTACCCCCTGGCTTTTCCATCACTGCTGTCACTCCAGGCAGGCAGGTCCCCTGTCATCCTCCTCAGCACCTCCATCCTCCGTGCTACCCAGATAGAGCGCTTGTGCCCAGAACAGTAGTAAAGAGAAATCGGATGTGGAGAGAGATTTGGGGGGAAGGGAACAGCCGCAGGGCCCAGAGAGACAGGGCTGGTTTACTGCACGTCACACCTGGAAGCGGTAAGAACAGAAACAGAAGGCCCAGGCTGGAGACAGAGAGACCGAGGCTGAGGCGGTGGCTCCTGAGTCCCATGGTCCTGCCACAGCAAGAGGTAGGGCAGGTCTCTGGGTGTGAGCCTCGGGACCGGACTGAGGGCAGCATCAGGCCTTGCTGGCAAGGATGGTGTGGATGATACCTGGAAGTAAGAAGTAAGACTGAGATCTCTGCTGGGCCCTGTGGCCCTTCCAGTTCTCTGACCCTCTTATTTGTACCTGCCCTTGGATTTTAGTACTTGATCTTGGCATCTGCTCATTCTCCTCCGCTGGTCCTTGCCTCTTCTGGCCTCTGTCCCTGCCCTTGTCTCTATCCCCCTCCCCCCTTTCCTCTCACTCAGCCCCTCTGTCTCCATTTCCTTGTGTCGTTTCCTCTGGAACTCTTTCTTGCTCTTTGCCTCTTTGACTTGGGTCTTCCTTCCACTCTCTTCCTTTCTCCTTCTATTTCAGCCCCCTAACTTCCTTTCTCTGTCCCCCATACCTGGACTCCGGATGAGCCTGGCACATTCTCAGCAGGACAGGGGCAGGGACTCTCCATCAGCCCTGAGCCCTCTGAGGCACAGAGCTGTAGGCCCCTCCCCTTTGCCCTTTTCATTAGCTTATTTACAGGGTTGGGACACCTGTGCCCATGGGAACAGAGCAACTGAAGCTGACACCTCAGGTTACTGGGACCTGAATTATTCAAATTGTAATGCAGCACCCAGGCTCAGCTCAAGGCCAGCGTGGGGCGTTGGAGGGCAGAGATCCTGGGGTCAGGATCTGCAAAAGACTGGGTGTGAGGGTGTGAGGGGCCAGAGCCGTGGATGGTGTTTCCTCCTAGCTCTGCCACCATTGCTGGATTCTTTTTTTTTTTTTTTTAAGATTTCATTTATTTATTTGTCAGAGAGAGAGGGCACAAGCAGGCTCCCAGCTGAGCAGGGAGCCCGATGCGGGACTCGATTCCAGGACCCTGGGATCGTGAGCAGAGCTGAAGGCAGACGCCTAACCGACTGAGCCACCCAGGTGTCCCCATTGCTGAATTCTTGAGGCTCCCTGTATTTTTTAAAAATTTAGTTAAATTCCGTTAATTAACATATAGCATATCATTAGTTTCAGAGGTAAAGTTCAGTGATTCATCAGTTGCATATAACACCCAGTGCTCATTACATCACGTGCCCTCCTTAATGCCCATCACCCAGTTACCCCATCCCCCCACCTGCTTTGAGGCTCCCTTTAGATTGTCACCTCTGCCTTCAGTGAGAGATGGAGCACATCTGTCCAGGCTAGGCACTTTGTGCCAAGCAAAGCACTCCTGTCCTGGTGGGAATGGGGATAAGCCTTAGCTGAGCTTGTGGCTCCAGGTGGCCCCACAGAGCGGGAGATGCAGCTCACATCCTCATCTCCAACTCCCTACAGCCATCCTGGTCTGAGTCTCAGTGTTCTCCCCACTGTTCTTTGTTCTGTGTTCTCCCTCTCAGCAAAGCACCCATCCCGCCCCCCCCTCCCCGCCATGACCTCAGCCAGAAATCTGGGAATTATCCTTCCTTTCTGCCCTCTCCCCCTGCAACCCAACCAGTACCCAGGTCCTGTCAGCCATGCTGCTGGGCATCCTTTGAATGTCTCACCCATGCCCAAACACCATAGGTGACATTGGGTAGCAGGGAAAACACAGGCTTTACAGGCACTTTCAGCTCTGTCTTATGAGCTGTTTGACCTGGGCAAGATACTGAAACTCCCTGGGTTTGTTTTCTCACACAGGATAATGGAATTAACAGTCCTCACTTCAGAAGGTATAAAGATTAAAGGAGACAAGCAGTAACACAAGGCAAGTGCCTAGCATATTGCCTGATGCACAGTAGTCAACCAAAGGTATTTATACTATAATCCCAGTGAGTTAGTTCGAATATTCTATCTTCAGGAACACACACTTAGATTCACAAGCCCCCAGCCCCTGGCAACCACTATTCTAGTTTCTATCTCCATGATTTTGACTTAATAACTCATGTGAGTGGAATCATGTATTTGTCATTTTTTAAAAAGATTTTATTTATTAGAGAGAGAGAAAGTGTGTGAGCAAGAGAGAGAGCACAAGCAGGGGGAGGGGAAGAGGGAGAGGGAGAAGCAGACTCCCTGACGAGCAGGGAGCCCGATGTTGGACTCGATCCCAGGACCTTGGGATCATGACCTGAGCCAAAGGCCGACGCTTAACTAACTGAGCTACCCAGTCACCTCTAAATCACATATTTGTTTTTTTCAGGTCAGCTGATTTCACTTTGCATAATATCTTCAAGATTCATCCATTTGGGGGCGCCTGGGTGGCCAGTTGGTTAAGCGTCTGCCTTCAGCTCAGGTCATGATCCCAGGGTCCTAGGATTGAGCCCAACATCGGGCTCCCTGCTCCGTGGGAAGCCTGCTTCTCCCTCTCCCACTCCCCCTGCTTGTGTTCCCTCTCTAGCTGTCTCTCTGTCAAATAAATAAAATCTTAAAAAAAAAAAGATTCATCCATTTTGTTACATGTCAGAACTTCCTTATTTTAAGGCTGTATATATTTTATTGGATGTATATACCACATTTTCCTTATCCATTCATTCCCTGAGGAATACTTAGGTTGCTTCCACATTTTAGCTAGTGTGAATAATGCTGCTCCGTATGGAAGTAGAAATATTTCTTCAAGACTTTGCTTCAGTTCTTTTGGATTATATACCCAGAAGTGGAATGCAGCACCAGGTCATATGATAATTCTATTTTTTATATTTTGAGGAATTGCTATACTACTTTCTACAGTGGCTATAATATTTTTTTCCCCCACCAACAGGGTACAAAGATTCCCATTTCTCCACATCCTTACCAGGAGCTGTTATTTTATTTTGTTTGTTTTTATACTAGCCATCCTAACGGGTATAAGGTGGTATGTCACTGTATTTGATTTACATTTCCATAATAACTAGTGGTTGAGCATCGTATCATGTGCTTATTGGCCATTTGTATGTCTTCTTTGGAGAAATGTCTATTCAAGTCCTTTGTCCATTTATTAAATTGGGTTTTGTTGTTGTGTTCTAGGAGTTCTCTCTGTATTCTGGATATTAATTCCTTATTGAGGTATATAATTTGCAGATGTTTTCTTCCATTCTATGGGTTGCTTTTTACTCAGTTGATTTATTTTTTTGGTGAACAAAATTTTAAATATTTTTTAAAGTCCAATTTGTCTATATATTATTTTTTTTGCCTGCACTTTGAAGTCATATCCAACAAATAATTGCCATATCCAATGTTGTGAAGCTTTTACCCTATGTTTTCTTCTAAGAGTTTTATAGTTTTAGTTCTTACGTTTAAGTCTTTGACCCATCCTTAATTTTTGTGAATGGTGTTTAGATAAAGGTTCAACTTCATTTCTTTGCATGTGGATATCCAGTTTTCCTAGCATCATTTGTTGAAAAGACTGTCCTTTCTCCCATTGAATGGTCTTGGCACCCTTATCAAAAATCATTTGACCATATATGTAAGGGTTTATTCCTGGGCTCTCTGTTCTAGTCCATTAGCCTATATGTCTGTTTTTATGCCCATACCACACTGTTTTGATTACTATGGCTTTGTAGTAAGCTTTAAAGTCAGGAAATGTGAGTCCTCCAGCTTTGTTCTTTCTCAAGACTGTTTTGGTAGGGTATGACTATAAAAGGATAGGAAGAGGGAGTTTTTTGGGTGACAGAACATTTTATTTTATTTTTTTAAAGATTTTATTTATTTATTTGAGACAGAGAGAATGAGAGACAGAGAGCATGAGAGGGAGGAGGGTCAGAGGGAGAAGCAGACTCCCTGCCAAGCAGGGAGCCCGATGCGGGACTCGATCCCGGGACTCCAGGATCATGACCTGAGCCGAAGGCAGTCGCTTAACCAACTGAGCCACCCAGGCGCCCCGACAGAACATTTTATATTATGACTATGGAGTGGTTATACAAATCTGTATGTGTTAAAATTAACAGAAATGCATACCAAAAGAAAAGTGAATTTTCCTATATAATAACATAAAATATAGAATTAAAATCAATTTAGTTGGTTCATAACTAATGTCATGCAGGTTTACTGTACCTGCCAAAGAAGAAAGATAAGACTTAAGAGTGAGTGGTTGGTATTTGGTGTGAGGGTGAAATATATATTCTTTTTTCCTGTACCATTTTCCTCAATAATTATTCAGTCTTTTGGGGGCACAAGAAATTACACTTAAAAATAATGTTTTGCAGGGGCACTGGCTGGATCATTTGGTAGAGCATGCAACTCTTGATCTCGGGGTCATAAGCCCCACGTTTGGGATAGAGTTTACTTAAAAAAAAAGTTTTGCAGAATACCTCAAGGGCAAAATAAAGGCTAACTTCAAGAGTGCCTCAAAACAGCAAGGAAGTAGTGCACATACAGGAGACCCAAGAGTTAAACATGCTTTTTATCTGTTTAGCTTCAATTTGCAAAATAACACATTTGGGATTCATTTACATATGACACACAATTCAAATTCTTGGGGCACCTGGGTGGCTGAGTTGGTTAAGCGTCTGCTCAGGTCATGATCCCAGGTTCTGGGATTGAGCTCTGTGTTGGCGTTGGGCTCCTTGCTCAGCAGGGAGTTTGCTTCTCCCTCTCCCTCTGCCCCTCCCCCTCACTTGTGTGCTCTCTCTCAAATGCCAGTCAAGAGGGTTCTTGGTTTCACACGGGATAAAAATCAAATTTGAGCCAGCAGGTGGTGAAAGCAATTTATTAAAGATATATACATAGGGAGAGAGAGAGAGTATCTGGGAGACTTAGAAAGAAAAAGTAAATGAATTTCATCTTTGTTCAGGGCCTGGGGGTTTTACTGGGGATGGTGGTCTAGTGTATGTGTCCTCTCAGGCATTCAGGAACTGGTTAGAACAAAGACGAGGGCCCAGGTGTTATTGCTTGGAGCCAGGAGGTCTTGGTGTTGGGATGTCTGGCTCCCGTGGTGTGGAATGCACATGATAGCTTCCTCTGGTCATTCTCACCTGGTCCTTCCTTAGATGTTATTTATTCTAGAGAATCATTAACTCTCCGTCCCTTACAAGGAGGATATAGGCTATTTGCATTACAAAGCATGTGTAAAGTGCATTGGTGGTGCAGGTCCAGCAAGAATAGAAGCCAGAAAAGTAGCAAAAGAAAAAAACCCAGCTCTTTCTCTCCTGGGGTCCCTTCAGTTTCCCTGTCTCATTTCCGTAGTATAGTCTCTGACTAAAGACTGATGTGTAAATTGGTGTTTACCTGAAAAAAAAAAGCTAAAATATTTCTTATAACATATTTACTGTATTTTGGGGTGAAAATGTTATATTGAAAAAAAATCCAAAAGTTTGTGGGTAACTTTTAAGAAGCAGTGGGGGTGGTGGGGGTGGGAACACAAAGTAAAAAAAAATTAACTGCACAGTAACTATATGATTTAAGTCTCTATTTTGAAAATAATGAATCAACACATACAAAAAGACAAGGGATATACAATAATGAAATAATGACTCTTAGCCCTGATTATCATTAGGTGGAAGGTTGATGGGAAGTTATATAAAGGGTGAATAAGATTGACAACACCTAAATCAATAATCTTTTTTTTTTTTTTTTAGATTTTATTTATTTGACAGAGAGAGACACAGCGAGAGAGGGAACACAAGCAGGGGGAGTGGGAGAGGAAGAAGCAGGCTTCCCGCGGAGCTGGGAGCCCGATGCAGGGCTCGATCCCAGGACCTGGAATCATGACCTGAGCCGAAGGCAGATGCCCAACGACTGAGCCACCCACGCGCCCCCTGGTTCTCGAATCTAAAGGACAAATGACCCAGTTACTTTAACAAAGGGCATTAAAAAAAGGGGGGGGAAGAACATTGGTAATAGATTAAGATACTTGAGACTTAAAAAAAAAAATCAAATGTAAAGTGTGGACCATGTTGAGATCCTAATTCAAACAATTCAACCATGGGGTGCCTGGGTGGCTCAGTTGTGTCTGACTCTTAATTTCAGCTCAGGCCATGATCTCAGGGTTGTTGGTTCGAGCCCGGCATTGGGCTCCACACTCAGCATGGAGTCTGCTTGAGATTTTCTCTCTCCCTCTGCCCTTCCACACCATGCTCATGCAGGTTCTCTCTCTCTCAAAAATAAATAAATCTCAAACAATTCAACCATAAAAATATAGTTTGAGACAAGTGGGGAAATTTGGAAATGCAGAGGGCATTAGTTGCTATCTAGGAATTATTGTTAATTTTGTTGGTAGGACAAGGGTGCTGTGACTGTGTTTAAAAAAATTTACCTGTTAGTGGGGTGGCTGGGTGGCTCAGTCGGTTAAGTCTCTGACCCTTGATTTCAGCTCAGGTCATGATCTCAGGGTCATCAGATTGAGCCCCACATCAGGCTCTGCCCTGGGTGTAGAGCCTGCTTAAGATTCTCCCTCTCCTTCTGCCCCTCCCCCCATTCACACATGCCGTCTCTAAAAAAAACAAACAAAAAAAATCACCTGTTAGAAATGCTTAGATATTGATGAAATGATCTGCCTTAGAAATACCATTGTGGGGTGGGTAGAATAACAATGGAGGTAAAGATTAAGTAATATTGGAGGATTGTCACAAGTGTTCATTGTGGATTCATTATACCATTTTACTTTTTCATAGGTGAAAATCCCTACAGTAAAAGGTTAAAAAAAACCCTTAGGAAAACATAAGAAATGAATGCAGAAATCAATACATTACAATACAGAACTCTGGTAAAATTGGGTCAATAAGAGGAAGAGCTGATTCTTTAAAACGGAACAAAAAATCTAGAGTAATTTTCTGTTAATACAAAGTAGCAACTGAATCAAAGAGTAAAACATCTGAAAAGCGCAGCTACTCTGCAGGCCTTGGTTTGGCTAATCCAACATTTAATCTCCAAAATTTTCCTGACTTTGATTTTGGCATTACTCCAGCACTCTGCCAAGGAAATACACTTATTTTGGATGTTGTATGATTCTACAAGTCTGTTGAGTTTTGAGAAAATGGATTCCTGCTTTTAGATTATTTAGAAACTTAAAATTTTTTTATTTTTTTTTAGAGAAATACTATTTTTTTTTAAAGATTTTATTTATTTGACAGAGAGAGCGAGAGAGGGAACACAAGCAGGGGGAGTGGGAGAGGGAGAAGCAGGCTCCCCACTGAGCAGGGAGCCCGACGTGGGGCTCGATCCCAATCTTTATCATTAACTTTGGTGGGTTTTTTTGTTTTTTTTAAGATTTTATTTATTTGACAGAGACACAGTGAGAACGGGAACACAAGCAGGGGGAGAGGGAGAGGGAGAAGCAGGCTTCCCGCAGAGCAGGGAGCCCGACGCGGGGCTCAATCCCAGGACCCTAGGATCATGACCTGAGCCAAAGGCAGAGGCTTAACGACTGAGCCACCCAGGCGCCCCTATCATTAACTTTGAACTGTAACTTGTCTCTGATGTAACACAGCTGCTATGAGAAACATTTGACTTAGAGCCATATATATATATATGAAATACTAGTTTTAAGAGTAAATACTGCCCATATTCACAATTCTTAACACTTCTAAAGGCTAACCATTTCTATAGCACACTCTCTTTTCACAAAACACCTCTCACAAGGAAACCACAACAGGACTTCTTTGCCAGAAGCCCAGCAATGCTCTGTGACTCAGGTTCACAGTCAGTAATGGAGGGAGATTCCCAGGAGTTACCCTTGTCCTTGGGGTTCTAAATTAAAGGGAAGCCCCAGATCCACTCTGCTTTATCTCCAAATTCCTCCATGTCCCAGTATCTTTGGCCTAATCTTAACTGGAATTTGCTCACACCTTCAGTTTAACAGAAAAAAAAAAAAAAAAAATCCAAATAGTACACATCAGACTTAATCATTCCCTCTGGAAAACAGCTGTGTTTAGCAGCAACATTCATGATCATCATCCCCTTTACACAATGGAAAATGAAATTAAGAGTGAAGTGTGACCCGAGATTTAAAAACAAACAAAACCCCCAGAATAAAGAGCCAGGCTTTGAATCCTAAGTATATTCCTAAGGGCAATGAGACTCTTCCCCTATCCCCCACTGGGAAGCCAAGCACATAAATATATGCTTATAAATGTATTTATATAAATATAAGCAGTCAGGGGCACCTGGGTGGCTCAGATGGTTAAGCGTTTGCCTCTGGCTCAGGTCATGATCCCAGGGTCCTGGGAATTGTGAATATGGGCAGTATTTACTCTTAAAACTAGTATTTCATATATATATATATATGGCTCTAAAACTCATCAGGCTCCCTGCTTAGCGAGGAATCTACTTCTCCCTCTCCCTCTGCTGCTCCCCCTTCCCCCTCCTCAAGCTCTCTCACTCTCTCAAATGAATGGATAAAATCTTTATATATGTATAAGTAGTCAGGATTAATTAATAGTCTCGACCCCCTCACCCTAAATTTGCCCTAATAAATTTAGCCTTTGACTGTTCTTTCTTTAACCCATGACCCATCTCCCTTTAGACTGCAAATCAACTGAGGCCACTGTAAAGATCCTTGGAGTAAGAAGGCTCAAAAAACACAAAGGGAAAGCCAAGAGCAGGAATGCTATAAACATTTTATTTTTTTAAGAAAGTAGCTTCAGAAAAAGAGGAAAATAATCTAGATCATTTATTTATATATATATATACTTTTTAATAAAAACCTTTACATAATCTTCATGCATAAAGACCCAGAGGTGGCCATGTTGTCCATGACAGCCCTAATACCAGCTGTCGCAGGCCTTTACCTGGGACTCCCCACAGCTGAGAGCAGTGTAGCAAAGGCCCTCCTCTTGCCCGTAAAGTCCAGCTCCTTGCCTGCCTCAGTAATGGTTCTATGTTCTGGGACTGGAGACAATGGGTAGGAAATGCTTTGGGCTAGAATAGGAAGGACAGGGAGGGCTACCCAACCTGCCATGTTTTATCCAAACTCTTCAGGCAAATCCAGACACGAAGCCTGGCAAGATGACTGAAAACCAGGGACCAAACTGAATTCTGGAGCTTCCCAGGGACATGGAGTCTGTGACCAAGAGTTCCTGCACATAGTAGGAAAGGTCTGATGTTCATGGAACATTCAAGGCAGGAAGAAACAAGCCTTGAAGATTCATCCCTCCATGGCAGGCACTCACTTCTACCCTATATGAGTCAGAAATGACTATGTTCTGCTTCCTAACTCAGTCCAACCCTCTTTTGACTCTAAACAGTGTTAACTCAAAAACCTACTTAAGAGACAAATTCTCCTTCCTTCTGTGGATAGTTTATCTGTTAAGGAAGGACAGTCCTTGATCAACACATTTGTCCTAGTATAAAAGGGCTGAGGTAGGAGTAGGGTAGCAGGTTGGCACAGAGGGTCACAAGATCCAGAACAGCTGAGGGGGGGAAAGGATTCCCTGGTTCTCTGGAGGGAATTCTGCGAAAGGTATTTTATTGACCATGTTTTAGAAAGGCGAGGGGGGGGGGCGGGGAGAAGAATGGTCTTAAAGATGGTAAAAAAGAGACTTGGCTCATTTTTTGGGTTCTAAAAGCCCTTAGTCTTTGTTCAGTATTAAGAAAAGCCCTGAACAAATGGAGGATGCTGCTTGGGGCAGCAGGAAAAGAGGATGGATTCCATAGCCAACCAAGAGAATGGCAAACAGTGCCAATCAACTCAATGCAGGGGATCTCTGTGTGGTGAGTGTGAATGAGCATGTGAGTGTGGCGGGAAGAACTTGGGGTTCACTGGCTCCCAACAGTCAATTCTCGCAGGTAGGACTGTGTGAGGCCGCGCAGTTCCTCCAAGGCATAGTCCTCAGGCATGGGGAGCTGGCCAACGTGGGGAGCCAAGAGGCCCAAAGGGACTCGCTGAGGGTCTGGTGTTGAGTCGGAGGTTGTTTCAGGGGCACGCTGAAGGCTCCATACCACCCGCAGCAGGTTGGCTGCACGTTTGGCCATGTCTGGAGAGAAAAAAAATGAAGTGGGCATCAAGGATGCGGGGTGGCAAGGGTGGGCATCGGGGCAGAGGTATAATAATTGTAAAGACAGGAAGCAAGCAGGCAGGAAGCAGGGAGAGTCTGGAGGCTTACCTGACTGGGCCAGGAGATCCTTGGCATTGTAACACTGCATCTGCTGTATGCGACTGCACAGTGAGATCACTTTGGCATGTAACTGCTCCAGCTCATAAACTGAGCAATCCACCTACAAAGGAGCAGAGAAACCAATTAGGTCAAGAAGAGCTCCCATCACCCCAATTCCATCCACAGAATGACTATGCAAAACTCTGAAACAACAGGAAAAAACGCAGGAGGCTGGCAGGCAGTGTCATGTCACCACTCTCCAGCCTAATCACTGAGGACAAAACACAACCTCAGCAGTAATCCACAAGAGGCAAGTAACACAGTATACAAAGCCTTGAACTGGGCAAGCTTTGAGACCAGCATATCTTAAGAGCTTGACCACTATCTTCAGTGTCATCCCCATTACATCCTTTTCCCTACCACATGGTAGCCAGAGTGAGGTTTCTAAAAAGCAAGTCTGTATTTTTTTTTTAAGTCTATTTTTTTCTTTTCTTTTTTTTTTTTAAGATTTTATTTATTTATTTGAGACAGAGAGAATGAGAGAGAGAGAGAGCACATGAGAGGGGGGAGGGTCAGAGGGAGAAGCAGGCTCCCCGCCGAGCAGGGACCCAGATGTGGGACTCGATCCAGGGACTCCAGGATCATGACCTGAGCCGAAGGCAGTCACTTAACCAACTGAGCCACCCAGGCGCCCAAGTCTATTTTTTTAAGTAATCTCTACCCCCACCATGAGGCTTGAACTCACAACCCCAAGATCGAGTCACATGCTCTTCTGAGTCAGCCAGGAACCCTGTTTTATTCTTTACTTACATTTTGAATATTTTCAGCAGCATCTTATTCCTGTTTGTCTCACATATGACTCTTGGTTGGCCCCCCCTCTCAAACTCTTACATTAAACCACCCTACTTGCTAAGTGTCCTATCATCTCCTCCTTCTCTAAATGCTCACCCAACCCTTCCACGAAGCATCTCTCTCATTGAATCTACTTTTGGGGGGCTTTGCAGAATCTACCATTTAATGCCTCTGCAAGAATTTTTCTTTAAAGATTTATTTATTTATTTATTTGAAGTGGGCGGGGGGTGCACAAGCAAGGGAAGCAGGAGGGGCAGAAGCAGGCTCCCCACTGAGTAGGGAGCCTGATCATGACCTGAGCCAAAGACAGATGCTTAATTGACTGAGACACCAAGGCACCCCAGCCTCTGCAAGTATTCTTTTATCCACAAGAATCAAGTCTTTAACTGGACTTTTAAAGGTGGTAAATACGATGAGGTCTTTGCTCTCAAGAAACTCATAAAAAATAAACTGTGAGAGATAAACCTTGAAGAATCACAAGCTATGCAGATCATTCAAGCAGGGTGATATGGCAGAAAAACTGGATGGTACTTCAGATTGGGAGATCAGAAAAGGCTTCCCTGGGGAGGGTCATATCCTCGTGGAGACCTGAACAACAAGGAGAGGGGCAAGCTTTCTAGGCAAAGAGAACAGCTAAAACTACAAGATGCAAATGCAAAGAAAACTTAGGTGGGTAAAATGCAGAGTTTAAAGAGGAGAAGAAAAAAAAAAAAAAGAGGAGAAGAGAAGAAGATAAAACTGGAGAAGTTTTATAGACTAGAGGATCATAACTGGAGGTCCTCAGTATTGGGAGTCTGTGACCTTGGACTGAGAAACGTAACATTTATTTTTACTAACTTTTTACTAAACATTAGCATTTACTTACTAATGTAGATGTCAAGCAATAACTGAGACTTTGTCATCAACAGACATCACGGCTATTTTCATATTACATTACAGTTGTTAGTGATTTTTAAATATAGTACTTCAAAATTAGAGTAGTTAGGAGATCCACTGCTAGGCTTGTTAAATTTAAGATGTTAAATAAACCACTTATTACCTTAAGTTCTTAATATTTTGATAACTGTATTTTAACATATTGGTTTCCTTTGTAATCCCATGAATTTAAATTTTATGCATTAAAACACATTAGACAGCCATCCATGAGCTTCACCAGACTGTCAAGGAGGTCCATAGCAAAAAAAGGTAAGAATTATTGATGCAGAGCTTTGTAAGACTTGCTAAGGAGCACTTTATTCTAAGTGAAATAAGAATCCACTGGAAGGTTTTAGACGAGAGTGAGATGATACGTCTTGTGTATTAGAAAAATAACTCTGGTTGCTGCATGGTGTCTACTATAGCAAGCCAGGTGAGAGATTCTGTGGCTTTACTACACCTACACGCTCCCCTCTCCACTCCAAACCACCTTATTCAAAGTTCCCTGGACAGTTGCCTGGGTGGCTTAGTCAATTGAGTGGCTGACTCCCGATTTAGGTTTAGGTCATGATCTCAGGGTTTTGGGACTGAGCCCCATGTCGGCATGGAGTCTGCTGGAGACTGTCTCTCTCCCTCTGCACCTCCCCCACTCATTCACGCTTTAAATAAATAAATAAATAAATAAATAAATAAATAAATAAATAAAATGGACAAAATGAATGACTGAATATCTTACAAAACAAAAACCAAGTCCCCTGGAAGCACTATCATCTCTCTGATCTCTAGACTCATACTCATGCTATTCCCTCTGTTGAAATGTTCTGTCCCACCCATCCTCCTTTTTCATCCTTAGGGAGCTTAGGTGCCACTTCTAGAAAGTCTTATTGACTCCCTCAGACTGGGTTAGGTACTCCGTTTATGTGCTGCTACAAAACATTCTTTGCTTAATCCCTACACTTTCCATTCTACAGTAACTGCTGGCTTACCCATATATATATCTTCCTCACCAAAATTATTACTTTGGTAAGGGCAAAACATATACTGCTGCTTACCTTTATATCCCCCAAATCCACCAGTGCTTGGGACATAGTAAGTTCTCAAAAACTAGGTTATATAAATGTATTAATATTCAACTAGGAAAGAGTTTTCTTCAGTGATAATAGAGGTGATGCTCTTAATTTTTAGAAGTATAGCAAATAATATTAATTTATCCTAAAAGTGTAACAAATAATAAATTATGCATATTATATGCCCAGCGCTGTGTTAGTAGGGATTTTGATAAGGATAACAGATAACAATTACTAAGCACTTAATATATATAGTCTGCTAAAACACTTTAAGTATATTTTAATCGTTACGACAACTGTCAGATATCTATGATAATCTGTGCTCCACCTGCCCCCCCCACCCCCACTTTTCAGAGGAGACAAAGAGAGGCTAATTTATTTGCTTAAGGTCACATAGCTAGTGAGGGAGGGAACCATGAATTGAACCTAACCGTTTGGCTACAGAACTTGATTCTTACCCTCTATACTCTATTGCCTTTAATTTTAAAGATGATCTCCCCAAAAGGAGCTCATGATAACCTAAAG